GTTATTATGGCTATTTTTACAGGTTAGGGAATAAAGTCTAGTTGAAGATAAGTGGCCTGCCCAGGTAACTGAAAACCATGAGATTTTTATTGAGGACAAGCAGCATGAGGGCTTTAAAATTTTTTTGTTTAAAACAAATTTTTGTTTTGTTTTGGCCAGGATTTTAGTAGTTAAAAAGTGAAACAAAATCGTTGCTGAAGAAGCATGGCTGGAAAAAGAAAAGTACGTAATAAGGCGAGCCTGGATTGTAGTACCTTTCAATCATTCACCTTCTCTGCCCAACACTTAGACTTTTCTTCCCCTGAGAGGACTTCAGCACGAATGTGAGTAGTCATAGCCGGGTTCCCTTCCAGGAGCTACTGCTTCCCTTCAGCTCACGGAAGTCACCTGACCAGTGGCAGCCCGGTCAATAGCATTACTCCGGAACTTGTTAGAATGCACTTTCTCAAGCCCTACCCCATACCAACGGGATCAGAAATCCTGGAAGAGGGTGTGAAGCAGTTAGCTCTTTCTATAGGCAAGTTTGAGACCCGTTGACTTCCCCCCACCACAGCATCCGGTGGCCCTTCTTTCAGTTAGCTGAAACTATTTGAAAGGAAAACCGTTTTGGTATTTTAAAGCTATTTACTTATTACTCATGTAACATTCAAGGATCTGTTTCTAAAGGACATCCCCTCCCATGATCTAAATTTTCTTTGTTTTAGTATACAAAAGAGTCTCCGACATCAAATATAACTTAAAGAGACCAGTTAGGAAGTGTGAACAAGACAGAGCACACAAAGACACAAGTACATCCGACTGGATGAGGGAGGCCATCAGCATGAGGTTTAAGTGGCCTCCAAGAGTTTGTTGAGGTACAAAGCTTTAAAGGGGGCATGGGAGGACAAAGGACACTGTCAGAAGACTGATTGGTGGCAGATCAATGCATCACAATTATACGTGGGGCCATAGAAACAAGAACCAGACCACTATTGGGACATTAGTCCAGGGCCTTCTGACCAAGGCCAGTACTGACACCCCCATCGAGGACACACCTACCCAACTCTTAAGAGACTGCCCCTCCCAGGGCTGGCCTGAGCAGAGTGGCGGCAATCCACTCTCCAAGGCATTCTGTCTGGGGGAAATATTATCTCCATCCCTAGTTAGTGATCAGAAAGAATTCAAAGGAGGCTTAATCTATATGGGAACCCTGCAAATGGATTTGGGGCTGGCTTTTGCAAACTGGGATCCTCAGAATTTAAGCTCTAATACAATTTTTAGTTGGATTCTAAAGACAATCACAAAACAAAATAATGGAATAGAGTGCTCTAAATATAACTGCAAAAGCTACATGGTTATCAGTAAAGGTCTACCTAAGTCTAAAACCAACCTGTGTTAAGAAAGATACATGTAAATTTGGACCTGTTCAAAAAAGCTATGGTTCAAAATGATCTTTTCTACAATTTAATCACAAGGGATTAAATCAAGCAACTAATGTTGATTCCCAATTTTTCCTTGAAAACAATGTTAACTCTTAATAATTTGCTTTCCTAAAAATGTCTCACGCTTAATTGCTTTCTCCATATTTCAGGGTCCAAAAGAGCCCCCCAGTCTGAAATTTAATTTAAGGAGAATGTTTCTTAAGTCTTACAGGAGACAAAGAGAAACAGGCACATCATCCAGATGAGGGAGACCACTAATGTGAGGTCAAACCAGGGTCCAAGGATTGACTCAGGAAGCCAAATAAGTAGGGCACAGAACAAAGGGTACTTCATGATTTTCAATCATGAAAATCAATTCACGACTGGTGGCAGATCAATACATCATAATTAATGAATACATCGTAGTTCCATGGGTGAGACTACAGGAGCAGAACAGGACCATGTTTGGGACATGTACATTTTTAGATAGAAGGGCTTATAAGATTGGCCCAGGGCCTCCCAACTAAGGCGGATTGATTGATGTGGCATGACTCAGCGCTGTCCCCAGCACTGAGACCCCATCTAGGACACACCCAGGCAAGCCCCTAAGGGAGACTACCCCTCCTGTAGCTGTTTGGAGAGAGGTGGAGGTAATCTACTTTGCAGGACACTCTTGCCTGAGGGCAACGTTATCCAAGTCCTTGGTTGAGGATCAGGAAAAGTTCCTTGGAGGCTTTAGCTGTGTCAGGACCCTGTAAATGGATTTGGGGCTGTCACCCATCCATAGCCCTCTGCAAACTGGGGGGCTCTGAATTTAAGCTGGAATACAGGGGCAAGAAATATGTAGGTAGGAAAAATAGATATTTGTGTTCATGGATCTTACTGTCATTTGGGTGATGAAACATTAGCGGTGTTGTTATACAAATATGTAATGAATAATTTTTAAGTCTCTTGGAAGAAGCAATGCTCTAAGCCAGTGGTTATATATATATATATATATTTCACACTATATAATGACATATTGTTTTGTGATTAATCACTGTGCTTTAATTATGTTCAATTTGTAACAATGAAAATACAGCCTGCATATCAGATATTTACATTACAATTCATAACAGTAGCAAAATTACAGTTATGAAGTAGCAACGAAAATAATTTAATGGCTGGGGGTCACCACATGAGGAACTGTATTAAAGGATGTCGGCATTAGGAAGGTTGAGAACTACTGCTCTAAGTGCATATAACCAATCACAATGAATTCTAAAAACTTCCCAGTTTCTACTGACCCTATCACAAGCTAGTGTGCTTGTTATTGGTTGCTGTAGAACCCATTCTGACTCATGGGGATCCCTTGTATTTCAGAGTAGAACTGCTGCCCGAAGGTTTCAAGGTCATGATCTTTTGGAAGTCAATTGCCAGTTATGTCTTTCGATGTGCCTGTGAGGAGGTTTGAAAGGCCAACTTTTGGGCTCATATAGTTGAGTGTTTAAATGTTTGTACCACCCTGGGAACTCTTGTCACCAGTGGAGCCAGGCCTCTTTCCTTAAAGTTGAGGATCCTTAGCAGAGTGTCATGAAGAAGTAGTAACAATTTATCTATTGCTTCAGGACTCAGATAAAGCCATTCCATATTCATGTATGCTTTTCCATATAAATATAGTGAAGATAGGGATCGATGATTGGAAGAAGACTAATGTGATTAAATTTCCTAGGAAATAGAAACTGATATTATTGAAAAAATAGCAATAAAAGTTCTGAGTCTATTATCAAATGTAGAAGACCTGGAGTTATTTTAGCTTGATATGCAACTTCCCATAAAGGAGATAAGAATTGCCTCTGTGGTATTATTGTAATACCATGCCACAGGTAACTATTCATTTCCTCTCTGTATTTAAAGAGAAGTTGGTGAAGCATAAAGTCTGGGATTTTAAAACTATTGGGTGTCATTTGATGTTCACATAGTGCCCTTCCTCCTTCTTATGCCCCAGTCCTTCCTCAAATCTCAACGATTAAAGGAAAGAGACCCAACTGTATTTTTTTGAAAATGATCAGCTAAAAGAATTACAGTATTATAATCAAGGCAAGTCTACTAATTGCAAAATCGATCATACAGCATCCAGTTATGAAACATTTCCAAATGTTTCTTCTTTCATAGTTAACAGTTAAACAATAGTTTATTGAATACATGGGTAGATTGGATTTGGATCTAACTCAACAAGTGTTTAGCTCACTCTCTTTTCCCCACAGAGAATTGATAAATCATTTTATCGTTATGTAGGATTTGTGTGTGTGTGTGTGTGTGTGTGTGTGTGTGATTTTAAAGCTCTACTTACATTTGCCAAAAGCAACTAGGCTAAAGAATGTATAAATTGTGGCCATGAATAATTTACCAGAGTAGGAAAGAATTTCAGAAGCAGTCCCGAAACTGTTGACATAGTCATAGATAGTTTTTGACACTCTTTAACAAAAGCATTTATTGCTTATGTAAATCAAGAACTTAATGTGGGGAAAATTGATTTTTATGTAACGCATTTTGCTTTAAGTAGTTCCTTTTGAGAAACGAGATAGTTTGGTCTCAGGAAACATAAGAAATTTTTGTGATCAATCAAAGTAGGTATGGGGCTTTCAGCATGTAACCAATCTCTGGAATTGGTTCAGAAATGGCATTTTGAAGACTATCATGACCTGGATTCATGGTGGTGGTATGAGCCAGGGTGAAGACAGTCAAGATGGGGGGGCAGTAATACCTAGAACAGGCAGGGTAGTCCACATCTCAGGCAGTAGGCAATTGACATTAAGGAGAGTGCCCACTGAGCTACAAGTTCAATGGCTCTCTATACTCAAGAATAGTCTTGTGTAAGGACTATATTGTAATTATAGATCCCGAGGCAGTCAGTGACCACAGAGAGGAACTTCAGAATAACTTCAGCATCCAAGGAGAGGGAATTCCTGGTGAAATAACTGCTCTGAAATCCAAGGCTCTTGTACACTCATGACTATAGAAGGATGGTGCAACTCAAGCTTCACTACCTTTCCTACTAACTTCAGAGAAAAGTCGATTTTGTTGGCTCCTGGCTGTGGAGCCCTGAAGGTCACCTGGTGCTGTGCTGAAAGGGTAGAAGGACATGCTGACAATCCAGGTATAGTCACAGCTCCAGTCCCTCTCCTTAAAAAAGATTCCACCCCTCCACCTGCAACCCCAGAACGCAGAACAAAACCCCAAATCACCAAAGAAACCAGGCTAACTAGTTAGATGGAAACTAGTAGAACCCACCAGGACTATGGTTCTTAGTTACTCTCCAGGCCTAGAACTGAGCTCACATCTCACCCCACTTCCGTGTTAGAATGATCAATCATTTCTGATCAAAAGGATGGCAAGTATCCAAGGATGAAGTGCAGAGAGGAAGGGAGGGCTGGAAACGACCCCAGGGAGGAAATGGGATGAGTGACGGTACATTGAGGGACTGCAAAAGATGAGTTGAAAGAAAATGTGTCTGAACTGTTGACTGTTCTGTCTGCCATCTGTCTGCCCGGAAAACCTTTACCTAATCCACAGTAAAAGGTTAACACACACAAAAGACCTCTCTTCCCTCCCCCATTCTTGTCTGGCTATGAGGTTAAGAAGCTTCCACCAAGCCTTGAGGACGATGACCCCAAATAGAGCAGCCAGTCCACAGAGAGGACCACATGGCCAGCCCCACTATGAGACATGATGCCCCTCACTGACCCATGGCCCTGC